TGCCTTACTCAAGACAACCTCAGTAGAAGAAGCATTCCGACAGTGAATAGATGTTTTATGTGCCAGGAGGAATCTGAGAGTGTGAGACATTTGTTTCTTCAATGCACGGTAGCAACTGACATATGGAACATATTTTTATCAGTTTTTGGACTTGCTTGGGTCATGCCTTGCAGTATCAAGGATGCTTACGAGAGCTGGTGCTCATGGAGAGTTGGGAATCCATCAAAAAAACTTGGCAAATGGTGCCTGCTACAATTTTTTCGTGCATCTGGAATGAGAGAAATCGCAGATGTTTTGATGGGATTTCAACTCCTAATCACTCTCTTAAAGCAACTTGTCTAGTCAATTTATTTACTTGGTTAAACCAGGCCCCTGTAACTAGCTTTGAATCTTTTTGGGATTGTGTATGCTCATTAGTTATGTAAGTTTTGTATATGAGCAGCCACACTTTTGTTGTATATTTTTGCTATGCATCTTCTTGATGCCATTTAATGAAATTATCTTACTTCATCAAAAAAAATAAACTGATGGAATCCCACATCAGAGATGAATGGGTTCTTGGACTCTTTATATGGTTTGGGCAATCCTCACCCTTTGAGCTAGCTTTTGGGGTTGATTTAGACCCAAGGTCCATTCTTATCAAGGTATTAGGTCCAGGCCCCCAAGATAGATTGTTCACGCTCCAGTTGGCCAGCCTGGGCGTGCGGCGGGGTGATGAATACCACATCAGAGATGGATGAGTTCCTTGGACTCTTTATATGGCTTGCCAATCCTCACCCTTTGAGCTAACTTTTGAGGATGAGTTAGGCCCAAGGTCCATTTTTATTATAAACCACATGAGTGCTAGTGGAACAACAGTCCATGCCATGTGCCTTTTCCTCCTCCTCCCACAATTCCAATTGATCATTAATTCTTTAAGAGTACTTGGCATCACCCATGAAATACCAAACCAACTAAGTATTTCCCCACATAACCTTGAGCCAACACGACAATGTACAAGGAGATGATCCACATCTTCACCCGCCTCCTTGCACAAGAAGCAGCAATTGACACAAATGACCTTCCGCTTCCTAAGGTTCTCGGCCATCAAGATCACCCCTCTAGCTGCTAACCAAGTAAAGCATACTTTCCCCAACACCTTCGGGATCCAAATCAAGCTATATGGAAAAACAATCTCCTCCCTAATTAAAAGCTTTTCATAGAAAGGCTTAATAATACTTTGTATTCCCCAACCCCCACCTCCATGCATCATGGCTATCTGGTGACGTACATTATTTATGGAGCAAGTCTATCAATCTTGAAGCATACTTTTCCCGGCACCTTCAGGATCCAAATCGAGCTATATGGAAAAACAATCTGCTCCATAATTAAAAGCTTTTCATAGAAAGACTTAATAATACTCTGTATTCCCCAACCCCCACCTCCATGCATCATGGCCATCTGGTGACGTACATTGTTTATGGACCAAGTCTATCAATCTTTGGACCTCAATCACCTCCTAATCATGGAAACTCTTCCCAAATCTCAAATCCCAAAAAATCTCTCCACCTTCTATCCTCCGAATTTGTTGGACTGTCAACTCCTTTTGGCATGATACTCGGTACATGTTCGGTAAATCATCTTTCAACATGTTATCTCCGCACCACCTATGTCTCCAAAAACTAACTCTCCTCCCCTCTCCTACCTTGAATGATATATTGCCACTAAATTCTGTCCATCCTGTCATAATGTTCCTCCATAACCCACAACCATAAGGCATGTTGACATCTTTAGTTCTCCACCCCCTATCCTGCCCTCCTCCCCAAAACCCACCACAACCCCTTTCAGATAGGTATTTTAACCTTCTTGTCGACATGAGATCATTGCAGGCACAAATGGAACACAGATAAGAGGAACATTTAAAAGTTTAACAAATCAGGATTTGACAGCAATATTTGAGAGGAAGCTAAATAGTGATGTTCGTGAACAACTTGCATGAGATGATAAATATGTCCACAGATGGACCATAGCAAAAGGAAGCATTTTAGATTCAATAAAGCCAGATTCCACAACAATATTTTGATAGACAAGCTGAATGGCAATGGCTGTGCACAAATTGCATGTAATACATACCATACATATGTAAAGAACTTCAGTAGTACAGGGTATTTGATATTCCTCTATTCTACACAAGGTAGAAACTCTGGTTTTTAATTTGAATAACTATATGTTCTACTGAAATGGTCAAGCTGAATACACACCTCTTACGATTTCTATATGTTTCATCCAAAGGAAAATCATATGAACAGATACATTATTTAATAGCATATTCAGACTAATACGATATCTCCAAAGGAATACAACTTTAAGAAAACATAGTGCCAATCAGACTCGGCAAAAATTTGATTTGGCGACAAGCACACTGATACAGCTAATAATAGTGTCACATATATTTCTTTGGTCTTGAGGTTTAGAGAGGCAACCGCACAAACTAAATAATTCCTTGCACAAACAATACTTATTATTTCTAGGGCAGAAACAGAACTTGACCAACCAAAAGAAGTAAAGCAACTGATGAAGCACACCTTTGGCTTTGTCTGCTGCTCATAATCTTTAAGATCCTTCAATTCCTGCATAATTGAGTCATGCAATGACGAATAATCAGTTGCAACTGAAATTATTATTGAAAGGGAAAGCAACTAATGGTTCGTCTGCATACGGACAAGTTATATACAGATTATAATATTAGGGATGCTAATTCAACGAATAATAATTTCTGAATTACTTGCATTTGTTATCAAAGTGTTGGTTAACCATTTCAAAGTTTGTGCATAAAATTTAAAACATTTGTTTCTAATAATACCCTGGATCTATTAATGTCGAGATCACTTCCAGTAATGCAGGTAACCAAACAACCGCTATGTCTAGGAAAGAAGTTGTACCTTTTCCAGCTGTTGACACTGATGTTGATAATCTGATGCCTCTTGACGGGATTTCTTAAGCTCTTCCTCCAAAGCCACAACTTTTGCCCGTAAAGAAGTGATCTCCTCCTAATTTCCAAGGGCATTCCACATCATTTTAATAAATTAGAGGCTATAAAACAGTAGCAAACAGTGACTGCATAAAATTGATGAGCTGCAACACTTTTTATGGGATAAATTTCATCGCATAGAAATTGCAGGTCAGAATGCACTTTTTGCCAGTAAAAAGGAACGGAAGAAATCTGAAAACTGTAACTAAACCCATACTTCGATTAGAGTCTGTCGATCGTGCCCAATTTGCTCTTTTGGCAAACCATCCTGCAACTACACCAAGCAAAACGATAATGTGTTAATCCACTGATGAACTGCCTACTCTGTAATCTATCATCCTTTCCATTGTAAAGTTTCAAAAATGGCATCTGTTACCTTTTGTAATCAACTTCACATAGAGTAAAGTTACAATCTATTTGCTTTTGATACTTTCCAAAACAAACTGATGTTTACTATTAAATATCATAAGGGGTTGGGGTTGGGGTTGCAGAGGATTTATATTGCGTATCAAGTGCTCACACATTTGGTAGATGGTTGCTTCCCACTGCTTCTCAGAAATGCATAAACACAGAACAATCTCGTAATATATCTTTAACAGACCCTATAAAGAAGCTCATGGACATCAACAGAGAAGAATACAAAACAAAACAAATATACCTGGAGTGACCCTCCACGGCAACGAAGCATTCTTAACAATTAAGCAACACGTGACAACTAGGTAAACCTACATAAGCAAGCTCAATCGCTTCACTGCGATTAAGATAGCTACAAGTTGCAGAAGCACAATCAAAGGAATCTAAATGACAAAACACTGTCCAGAAACTCACAAGTCATTGCTAGTGTCCTATATAACTACACAGCAGGAAAAGGTATACAAGGATAATCAATCACGCAGAATATCTCTTTCAGAAGATCTTAGCTAGTCAATTCAACCAGAATTTAATGCTCGATAAATGCCAAAAAGGAGAAGAAGAACAAAAAAGAATAGGTAAACTCATAGTCGGTGTGTGTTTCCAATCTATAAAGTTCTGGTGCTAGCTTTTCTCCTTCCTTCTTTCTTATTTATTTCCTCTTTCAATTGCAGTATCTCTCTTGTTTTCTCCTCATTTTCAACCAAATGTTCTGACCCAGTATTTCCCCAAAGACCAAAACCTTTAACTATTATGTCATACAAAGTCTCACATCTTGTATAAACATAGAAGTGACAAGATCAACACAGAAATTAGTAACCAGCAACCTGCCCAAGCACTTAAGAGTTTGGTGAGTGGTGCTTTTCACTTTGGGTCACCTTTAGCCCAACTCATAGTGACCCTAGTCCCTAGTCATATTCTGTTCACAGATTGTTGTTGTTGTTGTTCATATTGATATATTGAGGCTAGTCCAGAAGGAGGTCTTTTGGGCAGGTTAGTTTATCACCCACCTAAACCCATTGTTGACCCAACCCAATAGTGGCCAAGCAAACATTGGGTGGATTGGGTCTGACTTGAAGTTTTCCATAAGCAATAGTGACCTGCCTATCCTTTCTCGAATAAGAAGGTAGCTCCAACCTCTACAAGGGGCTGTTAGACCCGTGCATACTTACACTGGTTCTACCCTGATCAAGCAACCGAATTTGACTCAGTTTGCCCACTTGACACCTCTCCTTACACCATATTAGTGTTTCTATCTCTTACGAGCAAGGAGTGTTCTTCCACAAATATTATCATATCCTCTAAAGCACTGTCCTAGATTGTTTTTTTCATTTCATCGAACTCACAAATCAGATAAAGACTTTGCATATCCATAACCATGTCAAAGAGTAGTCCCCTCATTTTCCAGAACCCTCTTCTCCATGATTGAAGAAGTTCTGCTGCTTTAGCCATCATTGTCAATAGGGGAGCTGGGCTTTTTGAGTCATGGAAGGTATAAAGATGAAATACAACATTTCCCGATTATGATAAGCACGCCTAAGAGGCCATAAGAGCAAAAAGAAGAAATTACACTCATTTAATTATCATACCAAATTTTGTATAATTACAGCTAAAAAAGAATAGTACAAAAATTAGGCGTGATGGCAGGGCGGTGTAGGGGTGCGAGCGGCGATACGTGAGCAGGCATGGTGAAGAGTTAGTGCTCATGTTGGGAATGATCAGTGGTAAGGGAAAGGGGTAAAAGGATATTTATGCTTAATCCAGTACAATAGGTTTCCCAACTCGTCTCCCCACAAGAAAAAAAAGAAGGATGGGCAATGTGCTTGTTAGGCCAATGCGAACCTGGTCTACTCAATGTTTAAAATCATGATTTTAGCCAGTAATACTATGACGGAGAAATGCTGACTAATAAGCAGGATAAACCAACTCATCTTTAAACTTACTAAATCACAAGAGTAAATTGATGATACCACCCAAAAATATCTCATCCAGTTACAAATTTGTTCAATTGTAGTCATCTTAAGTGATAATCCATTAAACATTGAATAGCTATTATCAAATTGTCCCAGTAATCTGCTGAAACAAGAGTAGCTAAGGTATAAAGGATGACATAAGAAAAAAGGAAACACATTACAACAATGAAAGCTAAATTTGTTTCAGCATATAGAATGTAGAACTAGCAGCATAAGTCCAGATTTCAACCATTGTAAAGGTACAACAAAGAAATGAATGTCAGCGGCAACTCTAATATGTATTAATATTAAGCTTAAATATTTCAGAATTGACATTGATAAAGCAGGACCTTCTCTAGTCTTTTTTTTTTCCCTAGTCTTGTTTGTTAACTCTCCATATGCACTGTCTATGGTGTTGGACAAACACTTGCCAGTATATTTTACACTTATCTTTTCAAGCTCAATCACTACTAATACTCATATTATCCTAAAACAAACCTAAAATCATGCCAGGAAAAACTCACCTTCTGGCAAGAGTTCTCGAGCTGACCATTTGACACAGAAACTGCTTGTGACTTGGTCTGATCACTAACTCGGGAACCACGTCCTCTACCAGAATTAGTTTGTCCCTTGACACGGCTTTGTTTCCGTCTATTCACATCTGAACCCACTTTGCTTGTGTCTGTATTGTCTACTATCTTTTTCACAGTATCAGCTGCTGTCTACAAAAAGTATTTCCTTCAGCATTAGCATATACATTCTTCCAGAAGGGTAAGCTGAAAAACACCCTAATATCACATGGCTAGCAAATCAACAGTTGTAAAAGAGAGTATCCCAGTTATTAGAATGCTTCACACCTAAAGAAACTGCCAAGAAGAGTAAGACGTTATATATAAAACATAGCATATAAATATAAGATATACCTCCACATGTTCAAATGAAGTTGAGCTGTTGTCATCCTCAAGTTTGCGCCGCTTCTGAGTGTTTGCTTGTATGAGAAATTCCCTTCCATTCTGGTTGAGGGGAAGGAGAAATGTCAGCAATGAGAAAGAAAATCTTGCTTTAAGAGCAGAAGATGGAGAACGATTTGCAGCACTGGAAACTAATGCAAATTTGCAATCAGTAGTTTGTGCAGTTCATACAGAATAATTAATTCTTCTTGATCATAGCCAGGAATATTTGTTATTATACCAGAGCAAAATCTGGCTTATTAAAGTAGATATTAGATTTGTTCCAAGATTGAAGATATTTGGATCCAGATTTCTCATTTAAAAGTACAGGGGGGAAATCATCCAATGCACCTTATAATCAATTCCGAGTTGTGTTTCTTTCGAGATGCTGAGGTCACAAACTACTAGGTTCTGATAACTCAAAAAGACTTTCTGTCCAGAACTATTGGATTGGAATTCGGAAGGAAGAAACTTTAGTAGATGTGAACTGGTTGAAGTTTGAAACCTACAAGGTATGAAAGCTTTTTACGGAAGACAGTTCCCATTAATACAACTGGATAAGTTTTTTCTTGAACAGAACTACTGGCAATTGAATGCCAGAAACAATTAAACTTCTCTAGAATGAGTTGTCGAATTTTCCTGCAGAAATTTAGCTTGAATAAAAAGAGAGGAGATGGAAACAAGGCGTGCATACGTAACTGATAGACAAAATACAAAGAGAATGGTGTGTCCAAAAGATCATCAAGGCAACCAAGTACTTGGAGCAAACTGGCATCACCTTGACTGAATTCCTGGGAATAGGAAAGTTTTCCATCAGGAAAATGTACAGGAAGCTCGGGGGTTTATGAAGGTACCCTGGAAGAGAATGATATGCAACAACATGGCTGCCCCCAAATGGATTTTCATCCTCCGGCTGGCTGCACATGAGAGACTATCTACACAGGACAGGCTAACTCGTTGGGGCATATTGGTGAACCAAATATGTCCACTATGCAACCAACAGGATGAGACCATTTCACATCTGTTCTTTGAATGTGAAGTAACCTCTGAAATATGGGGTAAAATGCTGGAATGGCAAGGAATCCAAAGACAAGTGCTGAGTTGGAAAGATGAACTAGCATGGGCTGTAATGCACTATAATGGCAAGAATCCCAAGTCGGAAATCTACATAATGGTGCTGGCCAGAACTGTATACCATGTTTTGATGGAGCGGATCAAAGGGTGTTTAGTCAAACACAAAGAAGTACAGTAAAAATCACAAAGATGATAGTTCAGGAAGTCTTCTATAGAGCAAGCAAGGAGGCAACTATGGCAAGGACGCTGCAACACCTTAATTTTTATCCTTGAGTATGTAGGTGGGCATTGTAAGGGGAGAATGGATGATGTACCGGAAAATGGAATTGGTGTTCATTTTCCTCTTTTGAGCAGTTTCTTTTCTTTTTTATTGATCTGTACGTGTTTTACTTGGTAATAAAGTCTTTATTTACCCAAAAAAAAAAAGATTTTGCTGCATTTAGCAAACCCGGTTTTGTAAGGATTTAAGTTATATACACGGACAATGTAATAAATTTTAGCACAATCAGACTAATTTAACATGTTATAGCAGGTTACTTACAATCTATTCCAGGATACTAATAAGTGCTTATTGAATAAAATTACATACAATTATCTTTTAAGTTACATCACACATTTTTTACATTGACAGTGCCCAAAACTTAAACAACAATAAGAATTGCATTTTTCCATACCTACGCTAATTAAAAGAAAGAAAAAGCTGAATTTCACAAACACTTACATTATCATCGTCATCAGAATCACTAGAGACAGCAAGCTCAGCAACATTGTCAGCAGGCCCAGGCCCAAGCCCAAACTTGGCTGGGGCAGACCAGGAAGTAGCTTGGGATGTAGATGTAGATGAGGCTTTGCCCACCATTCTTGCCTCGAGTTTAGCAATCTTTGTGGGCAGAGACTGATCTGATTGGTTTGAAGAATTGGATGCAAAATGAATGACCATATCATCTGACATTTTTCAAAATGCTACCTTAAAGAACAAATAATCAGATTATTCACAAGTGCCTTTCAAGACCCAAAACATAAAAGAGATGAACTTGGGTATCTTTTTTATAATTCAAAGCGAATTTAGGAGATCCCTTTTAGTCAAAAGGAGTTGTAAAACCAAGAAACGGTTGTGTCCCTCAAATGAATTCAATCCTTTTGACAACAAGAAAGCAAATAAATGGGTACTGTGGAGATTTAGGGTTAAATTCCTATTTTGTGGAAATGGAAAAAATTGAAGGGCGGGAAGTAATAAGGAGTTGTAGAGGAGGTGAGGGGGAGATTTTTGAAATCAGAAGAGTGGGTCTTTTTGAAAGAGAACATCACTTATCAATACTTACGGACCAATTTAAGATGCCATAAGCGTAACTAAAACAATCCAACAAAATTACGAATTTGCCACTGAGAAACAAATGGAACTTTTAGGGTAAAATCCACAGAGAAAAAGATGCCAACTTTAGCTCAAAGTTGTTTGCAACTCAAAAACATATTAAACTACAAAAATGATACAGAATCTGAGGCAGAAGAAGAAAAAAAAAGCAAAATCTAAGTTGTACTGGTTCATGAAAAACTTAATCAATGACATAAAAGGGATCAGATTACGTTATTTTAGAATTTTGGAAGAGAAAATTGGACCTAGAATATTTCAGAATATCTCCTCTGCATTCCCATCAGTGCTTATGTAACATTTCTGCAGTTAGATGTGTAATATTCCCTTCCATGGCGGCAGATTCAGTCAAGTAGGAAACGGAACTGACGGCAATAGTGATGAAGAAACAGTAGGAAGATCCACGCGCTGTTGGTTGACGGTAACGGAGAGAGTAGACTTGGTGCGAGTTATGAGCAATCTGTTCTATAATGTTTTAGAATAACTCATTTGTTCATTAAAACTATTTCACTATTTCAACTTCAACTTTAAATACATTTTACTTTTTATAAACTAAAATACATATAAAACTAATCAAATAAACTGAAAATATAACATATCTATAATAATTAATTTTATAAACTAAAATACATATTTAAAAAAATCAAATAAAATGAAAATATAACATATGTATATAATAATTATTTTTATATACATATTAAAATTAATAAATAAGAAGAATAAAAGGGGGGTGGGAAACTATGTGCAGGCGACTGGACGAGAAAAAACGAAAAAGAGAAGAGAAAAGGAGAAGAAGAAGAAAAAGAAGAAAAGAAAAATTACCTGGAGGCACGAGGCTGAAACCCTAGCTGACTACTGCTGTTAACGTTGGGAAAGAGAAAGAATGTCTTTTTACTTTGGGTCTGTTTTGTATAATAAAAACAAAGACCCAAATTTTTTTTTAATGACCCCTCTGAACAGAAGCGAGCGCTTTTTTGGCTGAAGCGATCGCTTCTGCTGGTCGTGTCGCCTCAGTTAGGAAAAAGCGACGGCTTCTTGCTTCGCCTCGCTTCTCGCTTAAAGCAACGAAGCGCTCGCTTTTCAAAATACTGGCTCAACACAATATTGACTTGATTGTTGACTCAATCATCCCAAACAAGTCAGCATATTGTGTTAAACCTAAAGTTCATAAAAATATGCATGAACAAGAGGAAAGATTACCTCAAAGGGAGTGGATAATGGAGAGTTTGAGTCCATATATTGGAGAAACAAGATATCATCACGTCGTTAATATACATGGCTATCGTCAAAGGGACTATCGGTGTAGAAGCGTTGCAATAGAAGTATTCTCAAAAAGAGTGTTGGACTTAGTGTTGTCAAAGGCCCGCTTAAACCCTGAAGTGAGGCTCAAAATATGTTGAGCGTTTCGCCTCGCTTTGTGGGCGCTTTAGTATCGCATCAAGGCTCTAAGACATACTTTTACTTGCAATGAGTGTAATCCTGAAAAGGCGATATTAAATAATTGATATTTCACTTTATCGTAATATATTTTTTAATTTTTTTTGTCCATATATTTGTTATTTATACTTATAATTATTGTTCTTAGACTACATATGCATATTTTTACTTTTTCTTCAGTTACGCCTTTTTTCATTAAAGCCCATGCTTTATTTGTGTTTTGCGCTTAAAGCCCCGACCTTAGAGATTTTTTGCGCTTTTTGCCTTTGATAACACTGGTTGGACTCCATACTTACTAGACATGGAATTGGTTAAGTTCCATGAAGTTCTAACATCAATAACTTCAGATCGTAAGTTGAAGTTTGAGAGTCAGCGTAAAAAGATTACATGGAGAAGACTTGGTAGAAAGTTGAAACTTAGAAAGTGGGATTTGTTAGACCACATACTAAGTTTTCTTACAACACGAAGAAACTCTATGTTAAGCTAGCAAAGTGTAACTTGAAATCGGGCGAGCATTGGGTCCTCATTCTTTATGATAGCAAATCTTGCGCCATTTATGGAAGCCGTTAGACTCGAAAATGAATCTTTTTCAACCAGGGGAGAATGACACAAAATCAAGATGGCCACGAATTTCAAGAAATTGAATAAGTCCAATAATCCATTCAAGATTATGATTTATTTTCCTTAAAGACTGGGATTTCTTATTTCTTGTTTCCTAATAATCTTATTTCTTGTTTCCTAATAATTTAATTTTTGTTTTTGTCGGATTATATTTGTAGTTATAGTCAAACTAGGGTTGGTAGTTGGTATCCCATTCCTACTTGAATTCTTTTTTTTATTTTAGTTAGGGTAGGTTTTCTTAGCCTTATTCTTATTCTAGTTAGATTAGGATTTCGTTAACCTTATCAATTTTACTCATTGCAAGGCCTATTTAAAGGGTATAATATGCTGAAAATAAACAATAGTGATTAGTTTTTCTAAGTTTTTTCTTCAAAAACATGATTGATCTTTTATTTCATTCTTCTTACTTTATTCAACTCTCCTTCCAATCTCAGGATTGAGAAATGTGAGGGTGGGGTTTCTTTCCATCTTACATTCTTCTAATATGAGTTTGAAAAACGCTTTCGCTAGTTTTGTGAAAAAAAATAGCGGGGTACTTTTGTATTTCTCTCTTTTTATTGTACTTGACAGGCGCAAAATGTTGAAAGTACATGAGATGTCTCCTACGTTACCCATAATTCACGGAATTTCCACGTAACTTCATAGTCATTCGGTCTGAATTCTACATGAAGGACATAGATGACAAAACAGAAAGACCCATGATGTAGAAGATCATAACATGAGTGATTCGGCAGATTTGGATTCATATATATAAGGAGACCAACAAACCACTAAAAGAAAATGTGAAATACCTTGACAATGCAATGCCAAAATCATAGGAGCATTGACGTTCTATTATCTTCTCAGTGTAGGCTGGGTAAGATAAGTGATACACCTAGTCATAACTAGCATTTATAGTACACCCACAGTCACCATTTCCAATGTGACAACTAGCTAACAAAGTTGTCAATTCTATCTCGCGCTTGGGGCAATGCTAAAGCTAGTGAGGTTGTCACCGAGGCACGTCTATCGCTGGCGGAAAACTATTCCAAACAAAGTTGCCAATTCTCTTTTTCTAATTTCCCAAATTAGTCATTCAAAATTTCAACATATTATCCGAATATACAAGCACATACAAGTTATAAATAGCAGGCTATTCATAAAAGTCCAAGATGCACCAACCATATACTATTGCGCTCGTTCAAGAAGTCAAATTACTTCTACTCATGCTCGTTCTACAAAAGCTAATAGATCTCTCGTTTTTTACAATTATTCTTTACTACTTTAGTGTTCTACAAATATCCATGTTTGCAGAGGTACATATCTACATGGAACGCGGACCAATAAACTAGTAGAGAAAGTAATTAAGTTGACATATATGTAGATAATTCTAAGCTTTTCAATGCACCAGCATTACAACACAAGGATGCCATTTACAAGATTTTGCTGCATTTAGCAAACCCTATTTTGTAAGGATTTAAGTTATATATAATGAAAATATAGTATTATCAGACTAATTTAACATGTTATAGCATGTTACTTACCATCTATTCTAGGATACTAATTGAAGGATATAAATTATTCATATAATTTCATATGTAAAAAAATAAGTTTTTAAAATAAAATATGAATAAAAATATCATATCATTGCATATTTTCTAACAAATCTTGTAGGAAAAAAAATATGAAAAAGAAGGAAAGAAGCTAAAAGACAAGAGAGTGAAGTAAAGCCACAATTGCACACATTGATCACGCCCAACTATGCCTTATAAAAAGGACTCTGCGGACGTTGCAAATATAACCTGAGTATTACGCCCATGGTGGAATCCGCAGAGAGTTAACCTATCAACCGCTATCTTCAGACCCACTAAGTCTTCAGAACCAGCTTCCCAAATATTCAAATCTCAGTTGAGTGTTCTTTAACAACTAGCTTGCAAGCAACTAAATAGCTGTAAACTAAACTAATAAGGTTGTAAACAATTATGAGAAAAATGCTAAGGCAATGATTTCCCCTATTGATGGAATCCCTTCTGTTTATGCTCATACAAATTTACCCACACATCTCTATCAATCATGAATGCTAATCTTACCGTAAATCTCTCCCGAGTAATCACAGTAATTTACTATTGCACTCTCCCGAGATACACTAGCTTACTTTATTTAGCACAATTCAATTTAGATTGCACCCAAGGCATCGTTATTCCTAATCTCGCCTTTAAACCCGCAATTATAGATTCCTCTAATAATCTAGGAGTGGTGTTGTTCAACAATACCCTAAATATGCACTCTTTTCTAAGTTATGCACACTAAATAGGCACAGCTAATTGAGGATCCTGTCACTTAACTACAACGAACACAAAGTTGAACAAATAAAGATTAAACTAGCAATTTGTATTCACATAAACAAGAAGTTCATCACCCAATAGGTTCCATCAACGCCTTAGACAAGGAATTTAGCTACTCATAGATATGGGAGAATAAACTAAGCTTGAATTCATCATAAAATCAAAAGAAAAGAAGAAAGATGTTTAGAGTACTTTCTCACAATTGTTTTCCTTGCTAAGAAACCTAAAAAATCAATACATGCCTCTCTTGGGCGAAGTCTAATGTTTTAAATAGGGTTTAGGTCTAAAAATCCCGTAATTGACACTTTGGTCCCTGAAGTTTCTGCGCCTGCCGCGGTTCTGCCGCGGTCGCGGTAGAACCGCGGCCAAACACCCTCGCGGATTCTCACAACTTTTGCAGCTGCTTCCCACCGCGGTTCTGTCGCGGTCGCGGTGAAACCGCGGTGGATCCAGTTCTCTGAATCTTCGGCCTGTTTTTGCACGGGTCACTTAGGAAATTTCACGGTTGGCCTCTTTTTCATCACTTTTGACTCCAAAACTGCTCCTTAGCCGTCTTTATAAATATATCACCTACAAATCATGAAAAGCACTAATAAGAGCATTTTGTCATCACTTTTAGCATTAAAACTACATAAGAAGGTGATTATTCAAGGTGTGATTATAGTCAAATTCACCTATTATCACACATCATGTTCATATTCGTAAATGTGGAATATACATATGGGCTTATGGAAAGAGACAATTAGAGATGAAAAGGAGCATATTTGTATTTGTGGGATCTATATACGCAAAGTCACATTCGCATACATGAAACCCATATTTGCAAGCCTAACCCATGAAGTCATGAATGGAAGCAAAAGAGCTATAGATGCATATGTGGAATCTATATACACAAATGTCACATTTGCATATATGGAACCTACATTTGCAAATCTAACCCATGAAGTCAAGAACGGAAGCAAAAGAGTCATATATGCATGTGTGGAATCTATATTTGCAAAGGTCACATTCGCATATATGGAACCTACATTTACAAGACTAACTCATGAAGAAAAGAGTGAAGCACAAGTGCCATGCAAATATAT